GGGGTTTGAAATGAGCTGATCTTTAAGGTCCCTCCAATCCAGACCATCCACTCTGTGATTCAATGATACTTCACTGACACAAAAGCATCTCTTTACACCTCCTCAGCCTTCCCCAGCTCAAAGTACCCCAGAGCGAGCCCCCACCTCTGAGCCTGAAGGTGAAGCAGGCACTTTGGCTGCTGGGGAGGCAGGTCTGCTGCTCCTTTCTGGCAGGTCAAAGGACAGATCCCTCCTGGTTGAGTCTCGGGGCTTCTTCTTCTTCTCTGCATCCAGGTCCCGGGGATCAGAGCCCGAGTGGCTCTCTGCTCGGGTGAGGACTCCAGTCAAGAAGTCAGCTATCTCATCCTAGGAAGGGTGAAACACAGAGTAAGTGGTGTGCAGGGATCTGAACAACTCATCTTCACAGCTTGAAAAAAAGAGAACAAAAGATCCCTAAAGGGATAAGGCTGTGTTTAATACTCCACAAAAAGAAACCCTAAAACCTTACAGACAGAGCCTGGCTTCTCGTTTAAGCTCGTACCCCACTGATTTCTGACACATGGGAGAGAAACAGGATGGTTTCTCCAATGCTCCTGCCTCCTTCCCCAAGCAGAGGTACTGGAAGACCCTGAAACCTGCTTTTTATTTAAGGTGCTCTACCAGGAAGCTCGTGTTTCTCCTGAAAGGAGAGAGACACTTGAAAATCCCACCCATGAGATAACTCCCTTCAACCCAACCAAGCCTGGCAGTGAAGTTATAACTTGTGGTCACTGAGACGTTTCAGCACAGGGTTGGTTTAGAGATAAGAGGTGTGAAAGAAGGATTTCTTGTGGTTACCTGGATGCACCGGTCCACCATGCTCTGGGTGAGGCCTTCTGACTTCTTTTTGGCTTTGCTTATCCTGTCAAATAAACCAGATGGAAGTCAACATGTCGGGTTTTCCACTTGCAGCATGTCTTCAGTCCCACTGTCAGAGTTTCACATTCCTTTCTTTCCTCTTCTTCACTGATTATCCCCACTATGATGCTCCAAACCCTTGTCTCTGCTGCTGGCTGCAGCTCCAGCCTCAGGCCAGCTCCATTCTCACTCCTTGCTAAGGGTTTTGGTGCACTTATCCCAAACACACACAAGTGTCCTGAAGCCTTTAAAGCCTCTTGCCTCCTGCATGGCTCTTACAGCCTCCCTTACCCCAGTTCTGTGCACAGCCTCCAAAAGCCACGTATTCCAGAGGCAGGGGTGGTGTGAGAGAGCAAATGCTTGCTCTGATGTGATCCCATGTTGCACCCTGGATCTTTACTGGGCGAAGTGATACAGATTTATCACAGGAAAACATCCCTCTCTCCAACCTTCCAGGTTTGGCATAACAAAGCTGATCCTGATGGAGCATGTTTCTGCAGTTCCCATCTAGTTTCAGTACCCAGTTTGGGGGTTTCTTTGTGCACAGGACATTGAGATGTTACCCAGTGTTCCTGAGAAGAGAGGATCCATCTGGCAGAGCGTTACCTGAGGTTGTCATCTGCTCCTCCCACCACCACCATGCTGTTATCAGCTCGTATCTTCTCCCGGAAATCTTCCATGGCTTCCATGTTGCACTGCAGGGAATTCTGCCCGATCACAAAGAGGACAGGGGTCTTCATCTCCAGGAGGGGGTCATCAACATCCTGCAAGAGCAAAGGAACTGTAAGCCAGAAGGACCAATCGTCTTTGGAGCAAACCTGGGATAAGGCTGAAGAAACACCAAGAGTGAAGCTTCCCAGTGGGATTTCCCACTGGGACCAATCCTAAAGGAAACTCTGCTCCAGAGCTGCACCGTGCTCCAGCAAATGTCTTTGATACAGATTCCCACTGCCCTCAGAATCAGCCATTTCAATAGCTCGACCCAACATTCCCAACCCCATCACGCACTGGTCAGTTACTAAAGGAGCAATTTGGGCTCCTACTCAATCAACCCAAGTTGTCCTCTCTGGTGCCAAAGGCCACAGCGAACAAGTGACCCCACAGATAAGCCCCCAGGAAGGAGCAAACCCATGGAACAGCAGAGAAAAACCACCACAGGACTCCCCACACCCCCTGGTGCTGTTCAATGGCTCCATGTCCCTTTGGTCCTTACCCCTCTGGGGCCATCCACGGTGAGAAGGGGGAATCCAAGGCACACAACTGCAGTGACATACTCCATCACTGAAACCTGGGTGGAAAAAGCCAGAGTCAGCATCCCAACAGTTGAGTGCATCAAGGGTGCAAACACAGCTCTGCCAGGTCCTGCCAGGCACAGAAACATCTTCAGTGCTTAGACCTGGCTTTGCTGGGTTGAAAGAGTGGAGGAAAAAACCATGGAATGGGTCAAAATCCCTACATCCCTTGTCCAAAGCCCTTCTCCAGGTTTCCTGGAGCCCCTGTAGGCACTGGAGCTGCTCTAAGGTGTCCCCTTCAGGAGCCTTCTCTTCTCCAGCTGCCCCAGCCCAGCTCTCTCAGCCTGGCTCCAGAGCAGAGCTGCTCCAGCCCTCACAGCAGCTCCGGGGCCTCCTCTGGCCTCGCTCCAGCAGCTCCACGTCCCTCTTGTGCTGCTGCCCCAGAGCTGGACACAGATGAAGTGTGCCAGGGACACCAAACTGACAGGGGCAGTGGACACTTTGGAAGGGAGAAGCCACCCTGCAGAATGAGCTGGATGGGCTGGAAGAGCAGGCGGAGAACCTGATGAACTTCAACAAGGACAAGCATAAGATCTTCCAGATAAGCAGAAGCTCTTCCCTGTGAGGGTGCTGAGGCGCTGGCACAGGGTGCCCAGAGAAGCTGTGGCTGCCCCATCCCTGGCAGTGTTCAAGGCCAGGTTGGACACAGGGGCTTGGAGCAACCTGCTCTAGTGGAAGGTGTCCCTGCCCATGGCAGGGGTTGGAGCTGGAGGAGCTTTAAGGTCCCTTCCAGCCCAAACTGTTCTGCGATTCCCTGATAAAAGATGTCATTGTCCCACTCGGTGCTTGTCAGGCCACCCCTGGAATATTGGGTTCAGTTTTGGTTCCTGCTATGCAAAAAAGCTGTGGACTGGCTGGAGAGGGCCAAGAGAAGAGCCACGAAGATGATCCAAGGACCGAGCAGCATGTGAGGAAAGGCTGAGAGAGCTGGGACTGTTCAGCCTTGAAATGAGAAGGCTCAGGGGAGACCTTATCCCCATGTTCCAGTACTTGAAGGGTAGCTGAAGTCATTTGACAAAGACTCATATGGATAAGACAAGGAGTAATGTGTAGAAGTTACTCCTGAGGAGATTCCAGTTGGACACAAGAGGAAAACTGTTCACAGTGAGAACAAGCAGCCATTGGAATAACCTCCCCAGGGAAGTGATGGACTCCCCAGCATTGGACATTTAAGATTTGGCTGGACAAGGTGCTGGGATATCTAGTGTAGGTCATGTTTTGCCTAGAAAGGTTGGACCAGGTGACTAGAAAGGACATCTGTCTCAAAGCCAGGCCTTGGAACGAGAAAAGGGACAAGAACAACCCCTCTTAAAGAGCCTTAAACCAGCAGCAATTCGAATCTAACTCTGCATTGAAGCTGTCAAGTGGGAGGACGTGAAGGAATCAGGTACTTACGTGACAGGCCACCAAGGCACCGGTGTTCCACCCGATCAGGATGATGGGCTTGTGAGAGAAGTGGCTGTGAATCTATGGGGGAAGAACCACAAGACATGGATGGAGGAGAGGGACAAGACAATGGGACAATGCACTGGGGTGGGACAACACCTCCAACAAGGCGAGTAGTGTAATGGGAGCAGCAGAGGCTTGTTGCTTGACTCACCTCGGCCACTTTGCCCCTCACAGCCCCGATCATGTGCTCGAGACACTGCAGCACTCCCACCCCACTGCCGTTGTTGAGCAGATGGGTGGTGATGGGAATCACCTGAGGGGTGAAAGGGAAGGTCAAGAACTAACCATGGCTCTGCTGGGGATGAGCACTGAAAGCAGCTAGCACGGACTGCAACCACATTTGTGCATGAACGTGTGCTTCCTGCTCCTTCTTTCCCCTGGGATTCACTTCCCAGGGAGTTGGAGCTGGATGGGCTTTAAGCTCCCTTCCAACCCAAACCACTTGATGATTCAATGAAGATGGGTGGTTTTGGTTAGCAAGAGACCCCAGATGCATTGAACTTGGGCAATTTAGAATCATAGAATGGTTTGGGTTGGAAAGGACATCGAGGTCATCCAGTTCCAACCCCCTGCCATGGGCAGGGACACTTCACACTAGACCATGTCACCCAAGGCTCTGTCCAACCCGGCCTTGAACCCTGCACATCCCCTGTGCAGTGGCTCAAGTGCAGGTGGCACACACCACCCTCTGCTTTCAGCACAACCAAGCATTTTGGTGCCCCAAAGGCTCACAAAAGTGAGCTCAGCTGCTGCAGCCCAGCCTCATTTGCACCTCCCTCCTTCCAAACCCAGCCACACGAACCTTTCCCAGGCAGGAAAGCTGTGACTGCCAGAACCGGTGCCGTCGGGAAGTGGGGAACATGGAGTTGGAGGGTCCAGAGGAAGCAATCAGGATGAGGGGGGAACCAGGCAATTTGCTCTACAAAGTTCAACAAAGAGACGTGTCAGGGACAGCACGTTCCCTGCTGGGGACCTCGCTGCCCAGCCTGCACCATGAAGCACAAAGATCTTCATAGCTCATTAATCCATCCCATTCTCAGGCAAAGCTACATCAGGATAGTAGAGGGATAAAACGCATCCAACAGAAGGAATCCCCCTCACTGAGCAAGTCTAAAGCAGGAGGAAAAGAGCCCAGGAAGCAAGAGAGAGGTGGGAAGAACACAGCAAAAGGATAGAAAGACTAAAGCTAATGTGAAACCCACCCTGCAAGCCCCAAGAGGTACTCACTGGTTTATTATGTGACAAGACACCCACTGCTGGGTCCCAAGGTCTCTTCAGCAGCAGAGACAGAGCCTCAGCACCCGCTGCCCCTGTCTTGGTGGTAGAGGAGAGCAGCATCCTGTCGATCAGGGTGGGGATCTGAAAGCAGGGGCCAGAAAAGAAGAGGAAAAGGATAAAAACTCCAGCAGCTCCCTTTAATGAGCTTTATAGAGGGAGAAAGTAAGTGAGAGCAAAGCATTGCACTGCTTTATCACCTTTCCTTTCAGTGTTTGCAGAGCATCCAGGTAAGCAGCCAGCACTGGCAAGCTGAGGGTCTCCACCAGCGTTGTGTGCAGCCACTGGATGAGTTTGGTGTCCCAGTTGACACTGGCCAGAGCCTGGCGGACCCTCCGAGCGCATTTGTCCACTGCTATCCTCCTCAGGACTGGCTCATTGCAAGCCTAAAAACCAGGAAATCATACAGAAACACAGTTATGGGGAAAACAAGGCATTCCTCGTGCATCCACACCACAGGAAAGGAGGGGCCTGGGCAGCCCAAAGTGTTTTGGCAGCAAAGAAAGACCAACATCCTCAGAGTGAGGACAACATCACACCTCAAAGCAGCGCAGAGCTGCCTGTTTCTTAAAACTACGCATCCCAAACTACTCATTTTGACTCAGTTGGGCTTTGCTAAGTGGGGCTGATGGAAACACACACGCTGTAGGGAAGGGAAACAGGGAGGAAAAGCCTTACCCCTTCATTAGCCAAGCGAGCCAGCCTGTCAGACTGCAGAGCCTTGTGAATCTTATTGAACAGCTTGTTCTGGGCCATCGTCCAGCCTGTCCTGTCAGGAAAACCAGAGGGAGGGACACAGGTCAGCGTCACACAGACACCCAGGTCCTGCAGGCTGCTGCCCCTTCCCAAAGGCAGCACAGGCGGGTATTGGGTGCTCCAGAACTGATCTACAGCCATGGGCAAAGCGAGTTTTGCTCACAGACAACAGTTTGTAATGTCAAGAAGACCATGAATTGGCTCAATTCCAGCTCCAGGGAGGGTTGTTAACAGAGGTTCAACAGACTGCCACAAAATCCAGCAGCTTCCACAGCAGGCACTGAGGAATGTGGACACAAAACCTCAGCAAGATGCTGATGACACTGAGCTGTGTGGTGTGATTCACAAGCTGGAGGGAAGGGGTGAAATCCAGAGGGACCTGGGGTGGAGGGACCGTGTGAACTCCCTGGAGTTCAACAAGGCCAAGGCAAGGTCCTGTCCCTG